ACACCGCCCGGGCAACGAAGGAGTGGCTTCGTAAGAAGCATTTCAAGGTCCTGGAGTGGCCTAGCCAGTCTCCAGATCTCAACCCCATAGAAAATCTTTGGAGGGAGTTGAAAGTCCGTGTTGCCCAGCGACATCCCCAAAACATCACTGCTCTAGAGGAGATCTGCATGGAGGAATGGGCCAAAATACCAGCAACAGTGTGTGAAAACCTTACAGACTTACAGAAAACGTTTGACCTGTGTCATTGCCAACAAAGGGTATATAACAAAGTATTCAGAAACTTTTGTTATTGACCAAATACTTATTTTCCACCATCATTTGCAAATAAAATCATAAAAAATCCTACAATGTGATTTTCTGGAAAAATAATTCTCATTTTGTCTGTCATAGTTGACGTGCACCTATGATGAAAATTACAGGCCTCTCTCATCTTTTTAAGTGGGAGAACTTGCACAATTGGTGGCTGACTAAATACTTTTTTCCCCCACTGTAGGTGCTTCATAGCAAAGGGAATGAATACATATGCACACACCACTTTTCTGTTATTAATTTTTTGAATTTATCTAAACAAGTAATTTTTTTCATTTCACTTCACCAATTTGGACTATTTTGTGTATGTCCATGACATGAAATCCAAATAAAAATCCATTTAAATTACAGTTTGTAATGCAACAAAATACGAAAAACGCCAAGGGGGATGAATACTTTTGCAAGGCACTGTATAAACATGCTCTTGTTAGCAAAACCACATAGCCATTAATCTCTGTTGATTTTCACCTGGTGTTTATACAGTGCCCTCTGTAATTATTGGGACAGTGAAGCATTTTTCTTCTTTTGGCTCTATACGATTTGAAATCGTTTAGAAATTACAACACTTTTTGTACATAGTCCCCCCATTTTAGGGGACAAAGGTATTGGGACAAATTCACTTATATGTGTATTAAAGTAGTCAAAGTTTAGTATTTGGTCACATATTCCTAGCACACAATGGCTACATCAAGCTTGTGACTACAAATTTGGATGCATTTTCTGTTTGTTTTGGTTGTGTTTCAGATTATTTTGTGCCCAATAGAAATTAATAGTAAATAATGTATTGTGTCATTTTGGAGTCACTTTTATTAAAATAAGAATAGAATATGTTTCTAAACACTTCTAAGAAAAAGTGTCACTGTCCCAATAATTACGGAGGGCACTGTATATACACCTACAGTATATCAACAGCATCTGTGTCTCAGTAAACAACGTTATTGCAGGTCTTTTTTAAAGCCGGTCTGCTGGGCACTCTTGAGGAGTTGCGAGATGAAAAACTGGCCTCTCTGGTGACAGGCACTCAAGCATTGTGCCGTGGGTACCTCATGAGAAAATAATTTTCTCAGCTGGCTATAAAGAAGTAAGACAACCCATCAATTGAAATATTCTTATCCTTATCTTTAAAAGAAAGTACATGCTTAGAACATTAGAACTGGGCATTACAATTACCTATTTTTCAGAGATTGTGTGTTCATTCTGCAATACAACCTCCGCTCATTCATGAACGTGAAAAACTGGCTATGGATGAAGCTGTACTTCAAGATTAAGCCCCTTCTGAAGAGTGCAGAGAGTGAAAAGGAGGTGGAAAAGATGAAGGAGGACTTTGTCAAATGTAAGAAGGACCTGGCAAAGGCAGAGGCCAAGAGAAAGGAACTGGAGGAGAATATGGTTTCTCTGTTCTCGGAGAAACAAAACCTCATGTTACAAGTTCAATCTGTAAGTGCTATTAGAATTGTCAACATGAACTATCACTGTTTTTAAACAGACACGGTCATTATTGTAGTCACCTGAGGGGTACTGTTATATCAGTTTGTTCATTGTAGTGTTTAAGATGTGTTCCATTAGACAGACACATTGACTGGACAATCGATTTTCCTAGGATTCCGAAACTCTTTCGGATGCAGAGGAGAGATGTGAGGCTTTCATAAAAAGCAAAATACAGCTTGAAGCCAAACTGAAAGAGTTGACCGAGAGACTGGATGATGAAGACGAAATCAATTCTGAGCTGACTGCCAAGAAGAGGAAGCTGGAGGATGAGTGCTCTGAGCTGAAGAAAGATATTGATGACTTAGAGCTCACCTTGGCCAACGTGGAGAAGGAGAAGCATGCCACTGAAAACAAGGTTTGCATTTTCATATGAAGCTGCAGTATCCATCATCCTCTTTGCATGTCTTTTACTAACATGACTATGCCATTGCAGGTTAAAAACCTCACAGAGGAGATGTCTGGTCAGGATGAAATCCTTTCCAAGTTGACCAAGGAGAAGAAAGCCCTCCAAGAGGCACATCAGCAGACCCTTGATGATCTCCAGGCAGAGGAGGACAAAGTCAACACTCTGACAAAAGCAAAAGCTAAGCTTGAACAACAAGTGGATGATGTCAGTAACACATTATCAGTAGAAAAGCATTGCATTGTAATGCTTTTACTTAATTATATCGCTACTTGTTTTCATACCACAGCTTGAGGGTTCTCTGGAGCAAGAGAAGACGATTCGCATGGACCTTGAGAGAGCCAAGAGAAAGCTTGAGTGTGATGTCAAACAGACACATGAAGCCATAATGGATCTGGAGAATGAAAAGCAGCAGTCAGATGAAAAACTTAAGAAGTAAAATCAGAAACCGCTGAAGTAATAAGCAAGATTTCCTCTGTTGTGGTCAAATGTACTTAATATATTTCCTCTTTGTAGGAAAGACTTTGAAACAGCCCAGCTGCAAAGCAAAATTGAGGATGAGCTAACACTGAGCTCCCAGCTTCAAAAGAAGATTAAGGACCATGATGTAATACAGTAAAAAATGAAATATCTTTAAAATGATTAGCGCAAACTTGGCAGATTGTTTGGTTTAAAATTGTATGTTTTCTCTCAAGGCTCGTATTGAGGAACTCGAAGAAGAAATTGAGTCTGAGCGTGCTGCTCGGGCCAAGATAGAGAAGCAGAGGTCTGATCTCTCCAGGGAACTTGAGGAGATCAGTGAGAGGCTTGAGGAGGCTGGTGGAGCCACTGCTTCTCAAATTGAGATGAACAAGAAGCGGGAGGCTGAGTTTCAGAAGCTGCGTCGAGACCTGGAGGAGTCCACCTTGCATTATGAGTCCATCGCTGCCGCTCTCCGCAAGAAGCAGGCAGACAGTATGGCAGAACTGGGAGAAAGAATTGACAACCTTCAGAGAGTTAAGCAGAAACTGGAGAAGGAGAAGAGTGAATACAAGATGGAAATTGATGACTTGGCCAGCAACATGGAAGCCGTGGCCAAATCCAAGGTATCATACAACATACAGTGGGGAAAAAAAGTATTTAGTCAGCCACCAATTGTGCAAGTTCTCCCACTTAAAAAGATGAGAGAGGCCTGTAATTTTCATCATAGGTACACGTCAACTATGACAGACAAAATGAGAAAAAAAAATCCAGAAAATCACATTGTAGGATTTTTTATGAATTTATTTGCAAATTATGGTAGAAAATAAGTATTTGGTCAATAACAAAAGTTTCTCAATACTTTGTTATATACCCTTTGTTGGCAATGACACAGGTCAAACGTTTTCTGTAAGTCTTCACAAGGTTTTCACACACTGTTGCTGGTATTTTGGCCCATTCCTCCATGCAGATCTCCTCTAGAGCAGTGATGTTTTGGGGCTGTCGCTGGGCAACACAGACTTTCAACTCCCTCCAAAGATTTTCTATGGGGTTGAGATCTGGAGACTGGCTAGGCCACTCCAGGACCTTGAAATGCTTCTTACGAAGCCACTTCTTCGTTGCCCGGGCGGTGTTTTTGGGATCATTGTCATGCTGAAAGACCCAGCCACGTTTCATCTTCAATGCCCTTGCTGATGGAAGGAGGTTTTCACTCAAAATCTCACGATACATGGCCCCATTCATTCTTTCCTTTACACGGATCAGTCGTCCTGGTGCCTTTGCAGAAAAACAGCCCCAAAGCATGATGTTTCCACCCCCATGCTTCACAGTAGGTATGGTGTTCTTTGGATGCAACTCAGCATTCTTTGTCCTCCAAACACGACGAGTTGAGTTTTTACCAAAAAGTTATATTTTGGTTTCATCTGACCATATGACATTCTCCCAATCCTCTTCTGGATCATCCAAATGCACTCTAGCAAACTTCAGACGGGCCTGGACATGTACTGGCTTAAGCAGGGGGACACGTCTGGCACTGCAGGATTTGAGTCCCTGGCGGCGTAGTGTGTTACTGATGGTAGGCTTTGTTACTTTGGTCCCAGCTCTCTGCAGGTCATTCACTAGGTCCCTCCGTGTGGTTCTGGGATTTTTGCTCACCGTTCTTGTGATCATTTTGACCCCACGGGGTGAGATCTTGCGTGGAGCCCCAGATCGAGGGAGATTATCAGTGGTCTTGTATGTCTTCCATTTCCTAATAATTGCTCCCACAGTTGATTTCTTCAAACCGAGCTGCTTACCTATTGCAGATTCAGTCTTCCCAGCCTGGTGCAGGTCTACAATTTTGTTTCTGGTGTCCTTTGACAGCTCTTTGGTCTTGGCCATAGTGGAGTTTGGAGTGTGACTGTTTGAGGTTGTGGACAGGTGTCTTTTATACTGATAACAAGTTCAAACAGGTGCCATTAATACAGGTAACGAGTGGAGGACAGAGGAGCCTCTTAAAGAAGAAGTTACAGGTCTGTGAGAGCCAGAAATTTTGCTTGTTTGTAGGTGACCAAATACTTATTTTCCACCATAATTTGCAAATAAATTCATAAAAAATCCTACAATGTGATTTTCTGGATTTTTTTTCCTCAATTTGTCTGTCATAGTTGACGTGTACCTATGATGAAAATTACAGGCCTCTCTCATCTTTTTAAGTGGGAGAACTTGCACAATTGGTGGCTGACTAAATACTTTTTTTCCACATTGTACAAATAGCATCAAATTAATTCCATTGTCATCTATGCTTTCATGGTTAATTTGACAAAATCTCAATATTATTACAATACAGGTCAACCTTGAAAAAATGTGCCACTCTCTTGAGGATCAGTTAATCGAGTTGAAGACCAAGAATGAGGAGAATGTACGTCAGCTCAATGATATCAGTAATCAAAAGTCCCGTCTCCAAACTGAGAATGGTAAACATCCTTCCTTTTACATGTGGAGGAGAAACAAACATAAACACTACCTAAACACTTATTCTAATGTTTATTTGATTCTGTAGGGGAATTTAATCGGACAATGGAGGATAAGGAAGGTCTCATTTCACAACTGACAAGAGCCAAGCATGGGTTCACCACACAAATAGATGACCTGAAGAGACATCTTGATGAGGAAATAAAAGTAAGATCACCTAGTATTGTTACCATACTACATTGAATACATTGAAAATCTTACTATGCCCAATACCTACTTTACACTGAGTATACCAAACATTAGGAACACCTTTCTAATATTGAGTTGGTGCCCATTCACCCTCCGAATGGCAAACATACACAATCCATGTCTCAATTGTCTCAAGGCTTAAAAGTCCTTCTTTAACCTGTCTCCCCCCCTTCATCTACACTGATTGAAGTGGATTTAACAAGTGACATCAATAAGGGATCATAGCTTTCATCTGGATTCACCTGGTCAGTCTATGTCATGGAAAGAGCCTAATGTTCCTAATGTTTTGTACACTCAGTGTATACTGTTTTCATCCCAAGGCTAAGAATGCCCTGGCCCATAGTTTACAATCAGCACGTCACGAAAGCGACCTCCTCCGAGAACAATTTGAGGAGGAGCAGGAGGCCAAGGTTGAGCTGCAGCGGAGCATGTCCAAGGCCAACAGTGAGGTAGCTCTGTGGAGAACTAAGTATGAGACTGATGCCATCCAGTGCACTGAGGAACTTGAAGAGGCCAAGTAATTGCCAACTTTTTATAGATTTTCTACTTGTTTGCCATAAATTACCCTATGCATGATATTGACAAATGATTGGTCTCACTTTGCGCAGGAAAAAGCTTGCCCAACGTCTCCAAGAGGCTGAGGAACAAATTGAGGCGGTGAACGCAAAATGTGCTTCACTGGAGAAGACTAAGCAGAGACTGCAGAGTCAAATGGAGGATCTCATGGTTGATGTGGAGAGATCCAATAGTATGGCTGCTAACCTTGATAAGAAACAGAGAAACTTTGACAAGGTAATAAAAAAGTTTGATTTGATTTTTTTCTAAAAGCCTGAACATTCATGTATTGATGACGATACATGGTTTTAGATTTTAGTTGATTGGAAGCAGAAGTATGAGGAGTCACAGTCGGAGCTGGAAAGTGCTCAGAAAGAATCTCGATCACAAAGCACGGATCTTTTCAAAATGAAAAACTCCTTTGAAGAAGCTCTGGATCATCTGGAAACTCTCAAAAGGGAGAATAAAAACCTGCAACGTAAGTCCAATTTATGAAATGTGACAATCCATGACATAATAGTCACAACACATAAAATCCTTAAGGTTTTACAATATCAAATGACCTGATATTGTCTTTTGACATGTACTGTATGGCTTTCAAAATACAGAGGAGATATCAGACCAATCGGAGCAAATTGGTGAGAGTGGAAAGAGTGTCCATGAACTGGAGAAAGTCAGAAAACAAGTGGAAACAGAGAAAAGTGAGATGCAATCTACACTGGAGGAAGCAGAGGTAACATTATTTTTAAAAATTTACTCAACAGGCACAATGTTTTTAAAAAATTACACAATTAAGCCAAATCAACAGATTTTAAGGTTTACAATAATCAATATACATTTTCTTTTTGAAGGCATCTATAGAGCATGAGGAATCTAAGATCCTCTGTGCCCAGCTGGAGTTGAACAAGGTGAAGTCTGAGGTGGACAGGAAGCATGCTGACAAGGATGAGGAGATTGACCAGCTGAAGAGAAACAGCCAGAGAGTTATTGATTCCATGCAGAGCACTCTGGACGCTGAGGTCAGGAGCAGGAATGATGCCCTGCGAGTTAAGAAGAAGATGGAGGGAGACCTCAATGAGATGGAGATTCAGCTGAGCCATGCTAATAGGCAGGCTGCTGAAGCCCAGAAACAACTGAGGAATGTCCAGGGACAGCTCAAGGTGAGTGCTGCTGCGTTTTGCAACATTAAGATGGTGTGCATACCTAATAGGCATTGATAGCCATGGATGTGACAGTAGGTTAAATTGAATTGCAAATGAGTGCCTAGGGTTTCAGTTAAAGTTGATCATTAAACCATTCCAGGATGCTCAATTGCATCTTGATGACGCTGTCAGAGGACAGGATGATATGAAGGAGCAGGTCACCATGGTGGAGCGCAGGACCGTCCTGATGCATGCTGAGATTGAGGAACTCAGAGAAGCCTTTGAGCAGGCAGAGAGAGGCCGCAAAGTGGCCGGGCAGGAGCTGATTGAAGCTAGTGAGCGAGCAGGGCTTCTCTACTCCCAGGTTGGTTGTGTGATATGATTAATCAAACCTGACAGTTTACTCACTTTACAATTGAACTAAACCTCTCTATTCCAAATAGAACACCAGCCTTTTGAACACCAAGAAGAAGCTTGACACAGACATAACTCAACTTCAAGGAGAAGTGGAAGATGCTGTTCAAGAGGCAAGAAATGCAGAGGACAAGGCCAAGAAAGCAATTACTGATGTAAGTTCTACAGTCCACAAGCTGTCTCTTTAACACAAACTTCCACAAGCTAAATGAGTTTCATTCAAATCTTGTCCCATTCTCAGGCTGCCATGTTGGCAGTGGAGCTGAAGAAGGAGCAGGACACGAGTGGTCACCTGGAGAGGATGAAGAAGAACCTGGAGATCACCGTCAAGGACCTGCAGCACCGTCTAGATGAAGCAGAGAATATTGCCATGAAGGGTGGAAAGAAGCAACTCCAGAAACTGGAGGGCAGGGTATGTAGCTAAGTTAATTATAAAACTGTATTGCAGACTGATTTAAAAACATTGAAAAAAACATCTCTATTATCTAGGTCCGTGATCTGGAAAATGAGCTTGAGGCTGAGCAAAAGCGGGGAGTTGATGCTATCAAAGGAGTTCGGAAATTTGAGAGGAGGGTCAAAGAGCTCACCTATCAGGTAAGAAATAAGAATGTATTAATGTACCTTATAATCAGGAGTTAAAGTCATATTGTCACAGAAATTGGTTGCGTTTCCATGATCATTTTAACAGAGATGTATTTATTTTCCATTCATGGGCATAGCCCTAGCTTCAAATGAAATTGCAATCCACTTATCGCATTGTCCTGAAAACAATTTTTGAAAAAATAAACTGACACCAGTGATTTCTTTCAGACTGAGGAAGACAAGAAGAATGTTACTAGACTCCAGGATTTGGTGGATAAATTACAGATCAAAGTGAAGGCTTACAAAAGACAGTCCGAGGAAGCTGTAAGCAAATGACATACCAAGGACCATTCTCCACTAGATTTTGAGTGTTCAAGTGAAGGGTGGGCTCTGGCTGCAATAATTAATGTAGGCTAACCTACATTGCATCTCATTCAATTGCAGGAGGAGCAAGCTAATGTTCATATGGCCAAATTCAGAAAGGTGCAGCATGAGCTGGAAGAGGCTAATGAGCGTGCTGACATTGCTGAGTCCCAGGTCAACAAGATTAGAACCAAGAACCGTGACATGGGAACAAAGGTATTGATATGTTTGAAGTATACAGTTTTGTTTTGAGTTCCAATTCAACACCAAAGATAATGGCCTTGTCCCTTCCAATCGTAAACACTAGAGGGTACTCTGTGAGTGTCTAAATACATATAAGAGCAGAGAAGAAGAGGCGAAGCAAGAGGTTTTACTCCGCCCGAAATCTGTCCACGAAAATAAGCCCACCATGTGAAGGATTTGGAGTGTCGAATTTGGTCAACAAAAAATGTAATTACTAACTTGCTACGTGAGGCTTATTTTATCTAATAGAAGTTTTGTAATGGTTAGGTTGTTACAAATGCACTGATATAAGTGGACGCACGTGGCGTTACGGAAACTTGACTTTATATCAGAGTTGTGCCTGTTGTCATAGAGATAGATAGAGGATTAATCATGGATATAACGCATTTTAGCATGGACATTGACATTGAGGGCTTCCACCATTTTAAAGTAGTCAACTGGGTGGGGATTCCTGTGAGTTTGGAGCAATCCGCCAATGGAGAAGAAAATGTACTACTTTAAAATTGAGATAGGATCAATGGAGCTGCCCATGCTGTCAGACTCTAAACTGGCACAGATACAAAGATGAGTCCTATATCTATCTCTATGGCCTGTTGTTTACACGCGTATCTGCCCTCTCATAGGCTAGAATGGTCTCACCTGAGCTCGCCTCCTCCCGCCTGCCTTCCATCTTTGAGGACATGTATTTCAATTGTTAGAGCAGTCACTTGTATATCTTGTCAATATAATAGACAATATTTGATAAGAGCTATATATGAGCAATCAATGGATATGTGATTATGGTCTTAGTAGCAATCAAACATTTTTAATCACCTTTCTTTGCTGCTACATGCTTTAATCAGTCTTCTTCAATACAGGGCCAAGAGGGAATGGAGGAGTAGCAGAGGTTGTCCCCCATTGAGTACCAGAAGATGCATGCTCTTTGTATTCACAACTGCATGAGGTTACTAGGTAGTTACATTTACATTTTAGTCATTTAGCAGACGCTCTTATCGAGAGCGACTTACAGTTAGTGAGTGCATACATGTTTTTTGTTTTTTTTGTTAATAGCCTATCATAGTCCTACCATCTTGGATGAATTGCAAAACCAGTGATATGTTAAAATAGCGTCTCCATCATAACAAATAACCAAACACATTATACAGTCAACACAACCAATCAACTATTGCATCATATTTTCTATCAACCAAAACAAATTGTCATTCAAACAACATGTGTGCCCCATTAAAATAGTAATATATTATTTAGTGAGAAATTCAAAACATTTTAATTACATACATATTCACCTCCATTAAATATACACAGGCCATTCAGAAATCAATGAACAAACTAACTTTCAAATAATTAATCAATTTTCATTAGCAATACTAATATTGTGCCAATATCATGTTCTGACTCTAACAAAGTTTGAAGTTCCTAAATAAATAGCATTACCTTAAATTCAGTCATATTGTTTTCACCTTTCATGTTGTACATGTCCTACTGTAATTATACTAGTTAGAACAAATAATTCTGTACGATGATTAGAATATCAATAAATATTACTTAGATTGATGGCTCCTTATGCTGTTCAATATCATACTCAAAATCATACCTTGAGCCCCTGACACAGACAAGATGAATGACATGGGATCTATCACATTATCTGCTGTCCTTGGCCTAGATAGAAGATAATGTCTCATGTTTTAAGGTCAAGACTGAGAAGACTCCACATCGTTGTTCAAATCAAATGCAGTGTAGGTAGACCTACTGCCTATAGTCACACCATGTAAAAGTAGTCTTCACAAACCTATTCAATAACATGGTTTGTTTAATATAATATACAGCCTATGGTTTTGCCAATAATTTTTCTGCACATGCTGAATAGAAATTGGACTTGACACCGCAGATGAATTTACATTATTGTTGCTTTCTCAGTCTCTCCCAACTGAGGTCTGTGAATGTTGTCCTGTGTCGGTGAGTTGAGTCAAACATGATCTATCTATAGAAACAAAGCCTCAGGAGACGCAAATAAAAAGAAGCTTCAGAACAGCTGTCACGCATGAGAGCGGAAAAGCCTCTGAGCTTGTGCAAACTGGATAAGATCAAGGTTAAAAGAGTATGGAAGAACAGGTAGGATAATTAATCTGCCAAGTAGGCCTATGGATATTACCTACTGGGCACACTACGTCATTTCAACGTGGATAATTGGGTAATATTTGGTTGAGATGTTGATCACTGATTACAACCTATAGTTACTAAAAAAGACAGCCAAAAGTTTCCAATGTGTTATCACTGTGCTTTCCACCGTCTAAAAGCACAGCAAAGTTAAAATGGGAATACATTGTCTGTCACGGTTTCGGCCGAGGCTGCTCCTTCTCCTTGTTCGGGCAGGCTTCGGCGGTCGTCGTCTCCGGAGTACTAGCTGCCACCGTTCTATGTTTCTATGTTTGATTGGTTTTGTCTGTTTGTTACACCTGTTCATTGTTAAGTGTTCATTATGCGTCCTATTTAGTTCTCTTGTGTTTGGTCAGGTGTTGTGTGTAATTGTTCGATGTCACGTGTAGTAGTTGGTTCGCTGTTCTGTGCTCTCTGTATTTCGTTTTGTTTGAGAGAGTCCTGCACGTTGTGCGCATCTACTTTGGTTCTTACCAGTGTGCGTGTGTTTCGCCTGTGGCCTGTTGCCGTGTTTGGCTTGTATTTTCGGACTTCACTAGAGACATCTGTTTCGAATCTCTGTGTGTCCTGCGTGTGATTCCACGTTACCTCTACACTCAACCCTGACATTGTCAGACATTTTGTTTATTTATACAACAACTTAATGTGTTATCACTGTGCTTCATCTAATAGCGGAACCGATTGCAGTTGAGATTACATTAAAAGTACATGGTGCAAGTGATCAATGCCATTCGAGATTCTGCGCTTTCTTGAACATGCACTCTTTATACTGTATGATTACATAAGAAAACATTTATAGTTATAGGTAGTTACAGTAACCTCAATGTGGCCGTGGATATGTTACTCATTTTAAGGTTGAATGTTATATTAGCTTGTAAAATAGCCTTAACTTTAAGCTATGTACTGTAGTATTACAAAAGTAATATTGAATTGTGTTTGGTTAACAACATGATCAAATATCAACATTTAAAGGAGATGTATCTACTGCTTGCATAGTTCCATCTGAGCCACTGGCTGAATCCCATTGTTTAACTTTTATTTTTGGTTGAGTTGGAGACATGAATCCAACAACATATCATTAACTTCAGTTGTCGACAAGTTAATAGGCTATTTATTGTATTGCAAAAGTGATATTGAATTGTGTTTGGTTGTCAACGCAACCAAATATCAACATTTGAAGGAGATGTATCTTCTGCTTGGATATTTGTGCCACTGACTTAGTCTGACATTAATTGCAATTTGTCTACAAATTGATAGGCTATGTTGGATTCACGTCTCCATCTCAACCAAAAATAAAAGTTAAGGAATAAGACTAAATCAAATCAAACTTTAAATGCACTTTAAATAAAGTTTGATTTAATTTAGTTATATTCTTTGACTTTGTTATGTTTTCTTGTGAAACAATCAAGAAATAAGACAAAAAAACTGAAAACTTGAGCGTGCATAACTATTCACCCCCCCCCAAAGTCAATACTTTGTAGAGCCACCTTTTGCAGCAATTACAGCTGCAAGTCTCTTGCGGTATGTCTCTATAAGCTTGGCACATCTAGCCACTGGGATTTTTGCCCATTCTTCAAGGCAAAACTGCTCCAGGTCCTTCAAGTTGGATGGGTTCCGCTGGTGTACAGCAATCTTTAAGTTATACCACAGATTCTCAATTGGATTGAGGTCTGGGCTTTGACTAAGACATTTAAATGTTTCCCCTTAAACCACTCAAGTGTTTCTTTAGCAGTATGCTTAGGGTCATTGTCCTGCTGGAAGGTGAACCTCCGTCCCAGTCTCACATTAATGCCCTCCTTGCCTGGTCCGTGAGTTTTGGTGGGCGGCCCTCTCTTGGCAGGTTTGTTGTGGTGCCATATTCTTTCCATTTTTAATAATGGATTTAATGTTGCTCCGTGGGATGTTCAAAGTTTCAGATAAAAATGTTTTACCCAACCTTGATCTGTACTTCTCCACAACTTTGTCCCTGACCTGTTTGGAGAGCTCCTTGGTCTTCATGGTGTCGCTTGGTTGGTGGTGCCCCTTGCTTAGTGGTGTTGCAGACTCTGGGGCCTTTCAGAACAGGTGTATATATACTGAGATCATGTGCCAGATCATGTGACACTTAGACTGCACACAGGTGGACTTTATTTAACTAATTATGTGACTTCTGAAGGTAATTGGTTGCACCAGATCTTATTTAGGGGCTTCATAGCAAAGGGGGTGAATACATATACACCACTTTTCCGTTATTTATTGTTTTGAATTTTTTTAAACAAGTTATTTTTTTCATTTCACTTCACCAATTTGGACTATTTTGTGTATGTCCATTACATGAAATCCAAATAAAAATCCATTTAAATTACAGGTTGTAATGCAACAAAATAGGAAAAATGCCAAGGGGGATGAATACTTTTGCAAGGCACTGTATAGGCTTAAATAGCATCATGGATGATATATGAGTGGTAAAGTATGTTCACATTTCATTTGCTCTGTTTAACCTACCCATTTTTAAGTGGAGATCTCTCACCAATCATTCTCATGATAGCACATGGTTAATAGTAAGTGACAATTATCAAAGCTAAGCTGGGCTTTGTTAAAACCCTGGATGGGAGACCAAAGGGTAGCTGTAGGTAGATCAATTCTCCAGTAGGAGGTGCTGCCCAACCTATTTATTTTTCTTCTCCTAATAGTAGATACAGTGGGGGAAAAAAGTATTTAGTCAGCCACCAATTGTGCAAGTTCTCCCACTTAAAAAGATGAGAGAGGCCTGTAATTTTCATCATAGGTACACGTCAACTATGACAGAAAAATTTAGATTTATTTTTCAAGAAAATCACATTGTAGGATTTTTTATGAATTTATTTGCAAATTATGGTGGAAAATAAGTATTTGGTCACCTACAAACAAGCAAGATTTCTGGCTCTCACAGACCTGTAACTTCTTCTTTAAGAGGCTCCTCTGTCCTCCACTCGTTACCTGTATTAATGGCACCTGTTTGAACTTGTTATCAGTATAAAAGACACCTGTCCACAACCTCAAACAGTCACACTCCAAACTCCACTATGGCCAAGACCAAAGAGCTGTCAAAGGACACCAGAAACAAAATGGTAGACCTGCACCAGGCTGGGAAGACTGAATCTGCAATAGGTAAGCAGCTTGGTTTGAAGAAATCAACTGTGGGAGCAATTATTAGGAAATGGAAGACATACAAGACCACTGATAATCTCCCTCGATCTGGGGCTCCACGCAAGATCTCACCCTGTGGGGTCAAAATGATCACAAGAACGGTGAGCAAAAATCCCAGAACCACACGGGGGGACCTAGTGAATGACCTGCAGAGAGCTGGGACCAAAGTAACAAAGCCTACCATCAGTAACACACTACGCCTCCAGGGACTCAAATTCTGCAGTGCCAGACGTGTCCCCCTGCTTAAGCCAGTACATGTCCAGGCCCGTCTGAAGTTTGCTAGAGCGCATTTGGATGACCAGAAGAGGATTGGGAGAATGTCATATGGTCAGATGAAACCAAAATATAACTTTTTGGTAAAAACTCAAGCATGGGGGTGGAAACATCATGCTTTGGGACTGTTTTTCTGCAAAGGGACCAGGACGACTGATCCGTGTAAAGGGAAGAATGAATGGAGCCATGTATCGTGAGATTTTGAGTGAAAACCTCCTTCCATCAGCAAGGGCATTGAAGATGAAACATGGCTGGGTCTTTCAGCATGAAAATGATCCCAAACACACCGCCCGGGCAACGAAGGAGTGGCTTCGTAAGAAGCATTTCAAGGTCCTGGAGTGGCCTAGCCAGTCTCCAGATCTCAACCCCATAGAAAATCTTTGGAGGGAGTTGAAAGTCCGTGTTGCCCAGCGACAGCCCCAAAACATCACTGCTCTAGAGGAGATCTGCATGGAGGAATGGGCCAAAATACCAGCAACAGTGTGTGAAAACCTTGTGAAGACTTACAGAAAACGTTTGACCTGTGTCATTGCCAACAAAGGGTATATAACAAAGTATTGAGAAACTTTTGTTATTGACCAAATACTTATTTTCCACCATAATTTGCAAATAAATTCATTAAAAATCCTACAATGTGATTTTCTGGATTTTTTTTCTCATTTTGTCTGTCATAGTTGACGTGTACCTATGATGAAAATGACAGGCCTCTCTCATCTTTTTAAGTGGGAGAACTTGCACAATTGGTGGCTGACTAAATACTTTTTTTCCCCACTGTATAACGTTGTAGATATAACGTAGATATCTGACATTGTTTTAAAGGTACAAATTCAACATATTTTATACAAGGTTTGTCTATGTTGACATTTGGTTACCATGATGACGTAATCATGTGGTTGAAATTTCACCCTCAAAATAACAGTTTACGTTGTTTTCAAATTCAATGTATTTTCCACATAGATTCCACATCACAATACATTGTGTCACAATACAACCAGTTTGTGCCCAGTGGGTATAGTCATGACGTAACCGTGCTAGGCCAGGTTATGAGTTCACCAAATCATTAATAATTTTATGTGTTGGATTTATTAAGTCGTTATTTTTTAGTTTATTTTGCAGCAATAGGAATTCCATTAAGATACTGCATGGCTAAGGGTGGACGTGGGGGGCGGAATGTGAATGTAAAAAGTGAAAATGTTTCTGTAGGGACATTTTGACATGTTTTTTTGAGCTGAATGCCCGGTGAGCCACTCTGTTTTTTTGTTTTTCCCAAATTCCACTCCTGCATGTTCCCCTAATATAAGCAAATGGAACGCAAGACCTAGGTCTGTCAACTGTGAACTTACATTTTTCTCTGCCTGTATTGTGTAGGTAGGCCCTAATGTTGAGTGCATTTTGCGCCATTCGAAATGGGATAGAGTAGTAACAAATACTAGGCTACTATTTTTTGTTTTACTACTGATTTTGTCAAATAGCATAGGCTAACTTTTGTGTATCCAGACAATGAATCAATTAACATAAATCATGTTGAGAGTTTATTATTATAGAGCGACAAACCAAAATAATCTACAACTTTTACATTTCACCTCTTGACCATTTTCTTACAGTTCTCATAGATATCCATTAGACTAAACAAATGAGGAGGTATTTGGAAGTTGTTGGTTAAGAGTATGTTGCTTAATGTTGCAGGTATTGTCCACTTTTCCTTCAAAATGCCATCGGTTACTCTCCACTGTCTTTTCCCTGTAAAATAAGAAATAGTAAGGATTTATTTGTATACCACTTCAGTATATCAGGTATGGTTAGTCAGATTTATTGTATGAATGCAGTAAGTTTGCTAGGCCATCCAATCACCTTGCCCATGTCACGACGCTTAACCCGCATCTTGTTGACCTGGGTCTCAGCATTGTCAGCACGCTCTTCAGCCTCCTCCAACTCATGCTGCACCTTCCTGAACTTGATCAGGTGGGTATTGGCTTGCTCCTCCTATAAAATGAAATTGGATTAAGTGTCAACATTTTGAAGGGAGGTTAAAAACCATGTGTGTAAACTGGTCTGGATTGAGTTGTACTCACAGCCTCCTCCACCTGTCTCTTGTAGGCTTTGACCTTCAGCTGTAACTTGTCCACCAGTTCTTGAAGTCTAATGATGTTATTTTTATCCTCCTCAGACTGTTTTAAAACAGGACACATTTTATGCAGCCTATGGCCTATTATGGAGAATTCTTAAAATTGCCATGCACCAAAGAACTGTGGTGATGAGGAATTCAACGGTGCAGTTTTGCATGCAGTGTATCCATCCAGCTGACATTTACCTGATAGGTGAGCTCCTTGATTCTGTGCTCATACAGCATCTGAGGCGTGTTTCTGCTCTGACTCTAGCTCAATCTCCAGCTCTCTCACCTGATGGAAACCAACAACTATTACCACCACATAATACAAGCATAACATTGTCATCTGCATCTTCAATAATAGTTAAGGTTCTATTATAATCTTAACTATACAAACACTACCCTTGTCTCCAGTTTCTGGAGTTGCTTCTTTCCACCCTTCATGGCAATATTCTCTGCTTCAACTAGACGGTGCTGCAGGTCCTTGACGGTGATCTCCAGATTCTTCTTCATTCTCTCAAGGTGACCACTTGTGTCCTGCTCCTTCTTCAGCTCCTCTGCCATCATGGACACTTACAGTAAATAAGGCGGAACATAGACGTACATCAGTGATAGCCTTTTTGGCCTTCTCCTCAGCGTTTCTGGCCTCCTGAATACTGTCTTCCAACTCATCCTGAATTGAGGCGAGATCAGCCTCAAGTTTCTTGCGAATGTTGATCAGGCTTGTATTCTGTAAAATATGTAATTCAGCAAATCACCATGGGGACATTTTGTATTTTTAGATTAAATGAGTTGTTGCTTTAGGGCTGAGGTGATTAAGAAAGTTGAGTACTGTACCTGTGAGTGCTGTAGCTGCACTCTCTCGCTAGCACCCACTAGTTCTTGCTCAGCTGTTTTACGGCTTCTCTCAGTCTGTTCCAGAGTACCCCTCATCTCATCAATTTCAGCCTGCAACAGGTTGCTCCTGCGCTCAGACATGTCAACCTGCTCCTTCGTATCATCCTGTCCTCTAATAGCATCATCAAGGTGGAGTTGTGCTTCCTACGGGGGAATGAATTGATCAAAGTAAATGGAAATGGTGAAGTTTCTCCTATAACTGCAAAACAAACAGTATATTTCATGTATGTTTGTTTCCATCAGCTAACCTTGAGCTGATCTTGGATATATCTCAGCTGTTTTTGTGACTCACTGGCCTGCCTATTAGCATGGCTTAGCTGAATCTCCATCTCATTGAGGTCTCCCTCCATCTTCTTCTTAACTCGCAGGGCATCATTCCTGCTCCTGACCTCAGCGTCCAGATTGGTCTGCATGGAATCAATAACTCTCTGGCTGTTTCTCTTCAACTGGTCAATCTCCTCATCCTTTTCAGAAATCTTTCTGTCCACCTCAGACTTCACCTGGTTCAACTCCAGCTGGGCACAGAGGATCTTAGATTCGTCATGCTCTATAGATGCCTGAATGGGAGTTAATGTATAGTCAGAATAGACAGGAAGATATTGTAGTTGGGAATCGGGATAAATATGAGGTACCATCTTTACAAGTTTTACTATTACCTCTGCCTCCTCCAGGGCAGTCTGAACCTCTGTCTTCTCCTGTTCAGACTGTTTCTGTCACGGTTTCGGCCGAGGCTGCTCCTTCTCCTTGTTCGGGCAGGCTTCGGCGGTCGTCGTCCCCGGAGTACTAGCTGCCACCGTTCGATGTTTCATGTTTGTTTGGTTTTGG